CTGCAGAGAAGGCCCTCCTCTGGGTACTCACCCTCCTAATATCCCTCACAGAGAGCTCCCGGATAAGGGCCTCCCCCGCCAATCTCAGGGGTGGGGGGGCATATATGGACGCAAGCGCTCCTTTAGATAACCAGGTCCCAAGCCGTTGAGGGCTTTATAGGTGATAACCAACATCGTGAATTGGGCCGGGACTTCAATGGGGAGCCAGTGAAGCTGACGAAGAACTGGGGTTATATGAGAACAACACCCAGTCCCCGTCAGCAACCTGGCAGCTCTATTTTACACCAATTGAAGTATCTGGACCATCTTCAAGGGCAGCCCTACGTAGAACACATTACAGAAATCTAATCGGGAAATTACCAATGCATGTCGCCAGGCAGCCATTCTCCAGGTAGGGATGCAGCTGATGGATCAGCCAAAGCTGAAGGAAGGCGCTCCTCGCCACTGCTGTTACCTTAGCTTCTAATGTCAGCTCTGGGTCGAGGAGCACGCCCAAGCCGCGAACCCTGTCCCTAAGAGGGAGTGCAACCCCATTCAGGACAAGGTCCAAGTCCCCCAACCCGAAGCCCGACCCACCTACCAACAGGACTTCCGTCTTGTCTGGATTGAGCTTCAGTATATTGGCCCTCATCCAGCCCATTACCTCGGCCAGGCACCAGTTCAGAACAGCTACCGCCTCACCTGGATTAGTTGAGAACGAGAGATAGAGCTGGGTATCATCAGTGTACTGATGATTCCACAGCCCACACCTCCTAATGACCTCTCCCAGCAGTTTCATGTAGATGTTGAATAGCAAGGGGGACAAAATGGACCCCTGCGGAACTCCATGGCATAGCTGCCATAGCGCAGAGCCATAGTCCCCCAGCACCACCTTCTGGAAACGGCCATTGAGATAGGAGCGGAACCACTACAAAGCAGTGCCTCCAACTCCCAATCCCACAAGCCTATCCAGAAGGATACCATGGTCGATGGTATCGAAAGCTGCTGAGAGGTCCAGGAGAACCAACAGGGATGCACTCCCCCTGTCTTTCTCCCTGCACAGGTCATCATACAGGGCGACTAAGGCAGATTCAGTACTGTACCCAGGTCTGAAGTCAGACTGAAATGTGTCCAGATAATCAGTTTCATCCAAGAGTGCTTGGAGTTGTCCTGCCACCACCCACTCTAACACCTTGCCCAAGAATGTGATGTTGGCCACCGGACTATAATTGGCGGCCACCTCTGGATCCAGGGATGCCTTCTTTAGGACTGGCTGGACTACCGCTTCCTTTAAAGGGGCAGGTACCCAGCCGTCCCACAGAGAGGCTTTGACAACCTCCAGGGTCCAGGTCCCAATCCCGTCCATGGCTGTCTTGAGAAGCCAAGATGGGCAAGGGTACAGTAAGCAGGTGGTAGGATGTACTTGTCCAAGCACATTGTCCACATCATCAGGCCGCAGCAACTGAAATTCATCCATCAGCTTTGGACCCGGCCTCGAGGGGACAGGAAGCCCCGTGAGGGAAAGAGAAGCTCGATAAACCAAAGCAACCCCCCCTCCCCTCCAGGCGTGGTCAGTGCTGAACCAGATACCCGAGCGGGCACAGTTGAGAGAGGGAGACGTCCCCCCGCTCACCCGCCCAGGTCTCTGTAATGCAAGCCAGGTCGGCCCCCTCATCCACAATCAAGTCATGGATGAGGGAAGATTTATTGTGGACCAACCTGGAATTAAGCAGCAGCACCGACAGGCCCGGGGGGCGGTTGACAGGACTACCTGGAGCCCTCTGGCTGGGGGAATAACCAGAAGGAGGAACAGGTGTTATCCAACTGTCTCTCCTTCTATGTGGACACGTTAGACCCCCAATGCTGTAACGTCCATTGCCCATAACCACCCCAATGGCGGTGCCCACGCGTTCCCCAGGCAATCCCATCTTTGTGGCCGAGAATAATTCCATTAAAAATATAAACTAAAACACATTAAAACACCTAAAAACACTTAACCCCCCCAACACATACCAGTCCAATTTACAATCTCACCCGCCAGCCGAGAACATAGTTCCTGGCCAGCCCAGCCCCTGCACGGCCCCCGCATGGCCCCCACATGGCGACTGCCCTTTGGCCATCGCCCTTCAGCTGCCGGCCCTTCAGCCGCCGGCCCTGGCTGTGTCCAGCAGGATAAGCCGGCTGTCCGTCCCGCGTCCTGCCCCCAATCCAGCGTGACTCTCACCCAGTGCCGGCGGGGCAGAGAAGCAGGGCGGGCGCACGGCACCTGGCAGCTGGCAAGATGGCGGCATCCTCCCCGACGGCAGCGTTGTCGCCTGTCGCCTGGCCCAGCGTCCTCCGGCCCCCGGTGGGTTCAGCAATGGCCGCAGGGAGCGGTGTCAGCTAGCCCCCAAGGCCCGGTGGAGCGCCCATGATGTTCCCCGGCTCTGCGGCGGCGGCACGGCGGCAGCAGATCGTGGAGAAAAGGGGGGGAGAAAGGCCCAATTGCACCTGGTCTGTCTTTTCGTAGTAAGTTCTGATACATCTGCTTTATGGTTTTACTTGTTAAATCAATGTTTTACCTTGTTAACTTGCAATGGCCTATGGCTAAATGTAATAAACTGGCCAAAGGGCAGTGGCTGCCATAGGAAACGTGCATATGCAGGAACAAGGAAGTTTTGTACCTGAGACTGAAGCAATAACCCATAAAATTGCTTCTCTACCTACATGTTAGCTGTCCTGTCCTGCCAGGTTTTCTCCCTTGGCACATTTAAGGCAATAGACTGGTTCTTTGAGGAACCTCTGCATTCCCCAAAGGATACCAAACAAACACAACCCTCACAGAATGTCCCTCTATCCATGCGCAGAGCAAGCCGATCCCCATCTGCACCACTGCTTCTGGAACCTTCCTTCCGAGTACTCCTGGGCCCAATCCCGTCTGAAGGGCCCTCTGGAAGGGACGCCATCACTCTTCCATACGCCCCTCCTCTAGTTGGGGTTACCTCCTTCCCCAGACGTTTAGCATCTGTCCTCCACCCTCTACCTTCCCCCCAGTCAGAAGGTCCCAACCGGCCCTCAGACTTGGTGGTGCTGCTGCTGAGTGCCTGCTCAGTCCAAAATAAGTCATCCCCCATCCAGGACCTAATTGTGGGTGAGGGGCCCGACCTGGCATGCATTACTAAGACCTGGGCAGGCAGGAGGGGTAGAGGACCTGTCGCTCACCCAACTGTGCCCGCCCAGCTATCCGTACAGCACCAACCTCGCCTAGAGGGAAGGGGAGGGGGTGCGGCCCTAATTTTCCAAGGTGCAACCTCCCTTGTGGGCTTCCTGTCCCTTCAAGGCCAGGCCTAGAGTGCTTGTACCCGGCACTGGGCGATCGAGACAGACTAGGGATTCTGTGGTGTACTGTGCAGTCTTCTGCTCAACAGGCTCCCTGCCTGAGCTGGTGGAGATCACCCCGGAGCTGGTGCTGAGGACCTCCAGGTTGTTGGTCCTGGGGGAATTCAATCTCCCTGCAGAGGCTGGTTTGTCTGGGGCAGCTCAGGACTTCATGGCCGCCATGACAGCCATGGGGCTGTCTCATCATGTCACTGCCCCGACACATGAAAAAGGCCACACTCTGGGCCTGGTTTTCTCGATGAGGCAGGAAGATGGGGATCTGGAAGTGAGGGACTTGTCATGGTCAGATCTCTTCCTCGTGAGGTTTGAGCCAGGGGCCAGTGCCCTCCTCTGTAAGGGCGCGGACCCCATTAAGAGGGTCTGCCCCCGGAGCCTTATGGATCATTATGGGTTCCTGAGGGCTCTGGGGATTTTCCAGTTGATAGAGTGGGCCCTCCTGTCAATGCCCCGGTCAATTTGTGGTCAGGGCAATCGACATGACCGCTCCTGAGCTTCCTCTCCCACCATGCAGAGCCTGCCCAGTGCCCTGGTATATGCCTGAACTGCAGGCGATGAAGCCGGCTGGGGGATGACTGGAGCGCAGGTGGAGGAAACCCCGAGACGATTCTGGAGGAACACACGTGAGAGCTCAGGATTGAGCCTGCACGGTGGCGGTGAGGGCAGCGAAGAAGAAATCCTCCACTCCCAGTGCATCCTCTCAGTGCCATCCAGCGGAGCTCTTTCGGGTGGTGCAGGGCATGTGAGGCCTGTACTGAGCTTGGGAAGGAGGGAGGTGCATACTCCATGCCCTATTCCTGATGCACCCCCATCGCTTCCCAGTTTGAGGGTGATCTGGCTGCAAGCAGGGCTAAACCTGCAAGGGGCTGGAGCAGAGGGGACCCCCTGGAAGCAGGCGCTTGTGGGCAGGGGCTGGACCTGGCTCGGTTCCCTGGGCAGCCCTGAGGCGTCGTCCTGGGACGGCTGGGGGCCCCCAAAGGGCCTGGGCTGGTACCTCGCTGCTGCTTTGCTTGCTCCCTGGAAGCCCCCTGACCCTCCCCAGGCGACTCGGATGCTTCAGCACCACCTGGATGAGGAATGTCGCGGCTGCTTCGGCCCCTGCAGAGCGACTGTCCCCACGCACATCGCAGAAGGAGGCTGGAGGCGTGTGGTGCAGGCAGGGGAGCCTGTGCGCAGGGATGGCCCTCCTCTGAAGTGCCTTTGCCCTCGTGGAGAAGTGGAGATGCGCAAGCAGCGAAGGAGCGGGACCCGCAGCAAAGTGCCGCAGTGTGTCTTCCTTCTCTTCCCATCCTACAGTGGGGCGCCCCTTCCCAGCATCAGCCAGCATTCCCAGCAGACCGATTCATTCCATCATTGCACACATGAGGTTTCCTCTTTGGATGAAGGCACAAATAAATACAAAGGGAGATGGGTACTTCCACGTTTCGACCAGAAGAATGATAGACACAAGCTACAGGGAGGTAATCCTCCGATATGAGGCTGCATCTCATCTAGTAAAAGCCCGTGAAGGTTTGGGGTGTGTGCAAGGAGGAGAAGTTGTGGCAGGCAAGGAGGGGAGATGCAGAGCCAAACTCTGGTGCTTGACTGTTTTTGATGAACCTTTGTGGTTGGGAGAGGAGGGCCTGCAAGGAAGGCTCCTGGCAGCCTTAAGAACAGATCTGGAGGAGGGCATCCCCATAAACGTAAAAGAAAGGGAAGAGGGTCTCTCCGGCAAATGATTCCCTGGAGAAGGCGTAGAGGAGTGTCCCTCTATCAGCGTCATAAAAGGCCACCCGGCCCGCATCACAGTTCAGAGACACCCAGAGCGTCTTCAGCTCTTCACTCATGGCCAGGGAATAATAGGCATGGCTGCAAGCTTTGTATGTACCTCGGGAATTCCGCAAAACCCAGAAGCCCTCCTTGGGAGAGAAGGAGACTTCGCTCTTCCTGCTCACGGACTCCCTGGCAACCCCCACGGCCCAGCCTTCCCGACTCCCCACACGGACTTCCCAGGAGTGCCGGCCTCTTGTGAATCCCTCGCATCCCAGCACAAATGGATGGTAAGTGAATCTCTTTGGACTGTCAGGCAGATCTGCACTCTGATCTCCCATCCTCACACTTTTCCGATCCTCCGGCAGGATGAGTTTCGGGTGAGCAGTGTCTGGATCCAGAGTCACATTGGCTGCTGGGGCAGGAGAGAAGAAGGAAACAGAAGGGAGCATTAATGTTCGATACCTGGAGCTTCCATACAGCCTCAAGCGCCTGGTCATGCCTAATCTTGGAAGCTAAGCAGGGTTGGGCCTGGTTGAATCTGGAGGGGTGACTTAAATGTTGTGAACCAGCCAGAGAGCTTCAGCTATGAACAGTATAGAAATGCAATTAATTGATAATCTTAAGCATTAACACCCCACAGGCATCACAGATTCCCTCTCAAATCCAGTGAAATGAAAATAGGCCAGTGTAGCAACAGTAACTTAACTCAAATGCTAAAGGCCGAATCCAGAGTTCCCCAAGCACATTTCCACAGGCCTCTCCTCACTCTCCCTCCCGTTTCCTTAATGCCAGCCTCAAACTCCTCCTCCCCTCTTATCTCCCTGGCAACAGGGCATCTCCCACACCAGCTTATTTTCTTGGCCCTGCTGCTGAATTTGAATCAACCTGGATTGTATTTTGGCTCATTTGGTGATGACGCTTCATTGGGAAGTTTGATAAAGGAGTTTCTCAGTTCTTCTTCTGATGTTGGCCAGTCAAATGACTCTGAAGCATGGTTCTCCTGGACCCCCTACTCCGTGCATCCATAGGTTTGGTTTCGTGTGCTGCTTCTCTATAGTTTGCTGCCTCTTCTGGGTGCCATGGAAGATCCTCTGCACCGGTTTCTGCCTTCTCTAGCACCCGAGAAAATGCTGGGCTTAGGTAGAAGGACTCGACTCCTTGTATTCTCCCTTTCTGAGGCAAGTACAAGTTTAATGACTGCACCTTTGAAATGCCGAAATGGGAGCACACTTTTCTGAACTAGTTGGGTCTTCCTTTTCTTCACTAGATTCAGGGATTCGGTGGCTACTAAAAGTTAGAATTCTCCTGCAATATCCATTGCTAAGCAGCCCTTGGATTGGTTTCAGATTGATCTCTCCAGCTATGAGATCTAATAATAGCTTTACATGGTGTTTAGCCCAAAGGATACAGCCCCGGAAGTGCCCCCTGTAGGGAAATAGGCAAAGCACAAGCTCACAATTTCTCAGCACTAAGCTATCTGCAGGGACAGGCATCCTTGCCTCTTTAGCTCTGCTTAAACTGTTTGGCAACATGTAACACAGAAACATAGAAACAGAGTGAGTCGGAAGGGGTCTCCTGGGCCATCTAGTCTGACCCCCAGCTCCAGCCGGCTCTGCTCACGACATGCCCACCATCTGCATGTCTAGCTTATCCTTGAACACCCTCAGCAATGGAGCTCCAACCGCCTCCTGTGGAAGCCCATTCCACACCCTCAGGGTCCTAACCGTCAGGAAGTGCTTCCTGGCATCTGAATTGAACCTTGGTTCAGAGAGCGTTCGCTCATCCATTTTTGTGCACGAAGGAGTGAGGCAGTTCTGCAGAAGGACTGCAGCTTCTTTGGAAAGGAGAGCATAATTGTCCATGCAACTCTGTTTGGATGTCACCAGCTCGGCATCCCTGTCCCTGTCCGGATACCTGTGTCTTTTCACTCCTTGCATTCTCACGTCTCACAATCAAGTCCAAACTCCCTGTCCTCAAAAAGCAATTCTTCATAAAAGAAGATTCCAAATAAGTCATGTTCCTGTTTGTGTGGTCCCTTCTAAGGAACTGACAGAACATCCAGGGCACACAAAAGGCACTCGGGAATCCAAACAAGCACATACTGCTCCTCATGCTGCCTGCACACCACCTTCTGTTCATACAAATTTCTCTCCTCCAAATCCAATTCCTGCTATTCCCCTGAAGCAAGTTTATTTCTGCAACTTTAGAACATCTCAGAGAAACACCAGCTGTGCTGTGTGCCTCTTGGCCTGCGCTGAGCATATCAGACCGATGGGTTTCCTCCCATTCTGGAAGAAAAATGCAGCTCGAGTGTCTCAGAGTTGCTGGCTGCAGAGGAGCATCTGTGGCCACCACATCTGAGACGCCAGTGGCATGAACGCCCCCCCAGAAGCCTTTCCACGCAGGGCTGGGAAGGACTGCCTCACACACTTTCCTCCCAAGGCTGGAATCCAAGCTCTACAGAAATATCTTCCCCTTTCAATGCTTCCCACACAAAACCCGCAGGTGGCACAATGCCCTAGTGCAGTGGTGGCGAACCTATGGCACGCGTGCTGCAGCGGGCATGCAAAGCCCTCTCTGCCGGCACGTGAGCCAAGTCACCCCAGCATCGCCCCGGCAGCCGAGCGTTGGATAACAGCACACATGGGCCATGCGCATGCTCAGAAAGGAGTAGTGGCGGCAGGCAATGATGTCATGAGCTGCAACTCATCCAAGCTTTCACATGGCCAGTCAGTGCACTGCCAGGAATATATATATATTTGCTTGGACTGGCTGTGAGTTTGAATGCATTCGTTTTTATTAACACAAGATTTTAGCTAAGAGTTTTCTTATGAAAAATTGAAATTTAGTATCTAAGATTTAGCAAAGAGATGTTCTAATTAAGAGACTGAGATTCTTTTAATGTTGTGCTGTCCCCATGGCGTATGTGAATCTGCAGCATCATAATTGTTTTTTTCTACACTAAAACCTCAGTACTCAGGTTTTATTGCAGTGTTGGCACTTTGTGATAAATAAGTGGGTTTTGGGTTGCAGTTTGGGCCCTCGGTCTCTAAAAGGTTCGCCATCACTGCCCTAGTGCAACAGAGCAAGTACACAAGGACAAACCATGCTGCTGTATTTTTCTGAAATAAAATTGTCTTTTTTGCAATCAGAAAAACAAACAAACCCCAAACTTGGGAAAGTGCTCTGAAAACAAAGCAGAAACGAAACGGTGTCAGCACAGCCTTTTCTCTAAGAGCCCATAGGTGAGTGCAAAACAGAAGTAACGAGGGCACAGGGAGTGCCTCGAGAAGCCACCCTCTTCCCCAGAGCTGGCCGGGATGGCCTTCCGGCTGCCTTCCGGCCCTCCCATTCCATGGGCAGGTCTGCTGGGTGAGGCTCTGGTGGGTCCCTTAGAGCAGGGAGCCACTTGGGGCTGGGCTTGCTCCGCACCTTGCGGTGTGTTGCCAGAGAAGCAGCCACTTGCGGGGTACTGGCGGGCTTTCCCTGGCATGTGTGCACGGCAGGGCACTGAGTGGAGTCGGTGAGCACTTTCCCTTGTATCGCCTTGCAAAATGCCCATAATCCCGAGTTAGGGAGTTCATGCACGAAAGCTTCCAGTGGAAGGGACAGGGCAGTTTCCCCCCAAAAAGTCCAGCCAGCAAAAGGCCAGGCCAGGCCAGGCCACACCCCCCCCCTCCCTGGAGATGTACCTTTCTTTGGCTGCATTCCCTGGAGCAGGGCACCTGGGGAGAAGCAAGACAAAAGGTGAAACACTCGCTACCAATCTACCACTAACTCTTGCCAGGAAAATATCATTTGTTGACTGGCACTAAATCTGGGCCTTTCCTCTTTGGGTGAAATGCCTCAACTTGGCCAACTCTGGAATCTTCTTGAGCCCATTATTCCATGTCCTGCACTCTGGGATGATCGAGAGGAGACCCTGCCCTTCCTCTTTGGGACCGTCTTTCAAGTATTTGAAAAGTGCCACCGTATCTCTCCGCAGTCTCCTCAAGGCCAAGCACACCCAGCTCCTCCAATCTCTCCTCACAGGGCGTTGTCTCCAGGCCCTGGGTCATCCTTGCTACCCTCCTCTGAACCCTTCCCAGCTGGCCTGCATCTTTCTTAAACTGTGGGGCCCAGAACTGCACACAGTACTCCAGATGGAGCGTAGCTAGTGCCCAGTAGAGGGGAACCGGTGCCTCAAGTGATTTGGCACTGATCCTTAACACAGCCCCAAATGGCATCTGCTTTTTTGCAGCCACATCACACTGTTTCCTGTTGCTCAGCTTTTGATCTGCAACAATCCCAAGATCCTTCTTACTTCCAGTATTATTGAGTCAAGTCTCCCCTGTCACATAACCATGAAATTGCTTCCTTTCCATTCGGTGCTGAACTTAGCTTTTTTTTTCCCTATTAAATTTCACTCTGTTGCTTTCAGCCCAGCAAACCAACCTATCAAGATCACTGCACTATTTTATTTATTTATTATTTATTTAGGATATTTATATGCCGTCCTTTGCAAAAGCCTCAGAACAGCTTACAGAGATAATATCATTATCTTTGCTCTTGAAGAGCAACTATTGCTCTTGAAGCTTGAAGAGCATGTGACGTGGAGTAAGAAGCAAGACTGTTAAGCATGTAGGTGCTGCCAAATGTTTCCAGGTGGTGAAAACCCAAAGCAGAAATGAAAACCTCCACGAAGCCAACTCTAGACCGGCATATTTTCCAAATGAGGAAACATGGCAAAAGAAGACAGAAAAACAGTAGCCAGGCCACCAGAATGGGCTCACTGCCGATTTTACCACCATTTGCAGCAGTCTTCCCCAGGCTTGTGCCCTGCAGACTCATTTGGGCTGCAACACCCAGAATTCCCAGTCAATGTCCCTGCTGGATGGGGATTCTGGGAGTTGCAGTTGAAATGCATCTGCTGGCCACCAGGTTGGGGAAGACCATTTACAGTATCAACAAGGGAAGGGAAGAGAAGGGAAGGGATATTTCACCGCCATATTTCAATACCTTTGAATTGCCTTGGGACTCCCTCCAAAAGATGATTTATATCCCAGAAGTCCCAGATCCTCTCCTTCAGCTCTGGAGGGAAAGCCACTGGGTTCTCAAAGGGCTCCTTCTCACACCTGCCGGAGAAAACAGAGGAAGCCTCCATTTACGCATTCAGGCCCCTGCACCAGTGGAAATGAGGGGGACGCACTCACCTCTGCAAGGTGCTTCTCACATCCTGGAGGGGAAAGAGAGAAAGAGGAGGGGCTCAGCGGGTGTCGCTCTGCACTCCTGAGATGTGCCTGCCCAGTCCTGTTCAGTGCCTCCACTTGAGGACACAAAGGGAGGGACAGAAACCATCTCCACCAGGGGGCACCAGGAGGAGCTTCATGACGAGGGACATGAATGGACTGGCAGATTCCACCACCGCCAGGAAGCCTCCGGCTGAGTGCCAAGACTGATGCTCATCCTGGAGGCTCCTGCCAGTAACGGTGCTGCTTGCCAGGCCAACATGTGCGCTGCCCTCTGGAAACAGGCACAACCCTGAAGCATGTTCAAGAAGGGAGGACATGAGAGGATTCGGGTTCAGGCCAGGCGCCTCCCACAGCCTCTTTTGCTCCCGCAGCCTGTCCTTTGGAGGGCAGCCTTCTCCCGGCTTCCCCAGGCAGGAATCAACCACTCCTTTCCAGCAGCAGAACACTGGGGCGCTTGCCCACAGGAGCCACACTGAGAAGCTCCCTCTTGTGTGCAGAAGGCAGACTTCATCAGGCTTTGGGGGCATCAGTTGTGAGCGGAAACATGCATGAGGAGTGAGGTTAAGGTCTGCCTGTCCTGGCGCTGCACCATATTTGAGATTCTGCTTAGCACAGGAATAGGTCCGACCTGCCTTCCGGATTGGCAACACCACTAGGCCAGATGGCTTTGTGGTCGCTTCCCCAGCCCCGCACCACCGTCTGCTTCGGCCTGGGTCTCATGAAGGGCCTCACTGCAGAGTTGCCCCGTCAAAGGGTGCGCACTGCCTGCCTCGGCCCTCCCTCCACACATGCAGAGGCGAGCAGCGTCTGGCTGAGTCTCCTCCCTGGGGGATGTGGGAGCTCCTGCCCCCTCCTACCTGCAGGAGTTCAGCTGCCAGCTGCTGGCTTTTCTCCTCCACCTCCCGCATGATGCCTTCAAGGGAAGAGAGTTCCTTGGAAAGCCAGGCCAGGTGGTCCTCCGCTTTCCTGGCAATCTCCTCCTGCAGCTCGTCCACCTGGGCCAGGTGACGCTTCTCTTGCTCTTCCAGGAACTGATGCAGTCGCCTGAACTGAGCCACCATGTCCTCCCGCTCTGCCATCATTTGTTCCTGCAAGAAGGAGTGTGCGGAACGGTGGGAATGGGCAGCCGGAGCCAGAACGGGGTTAGTCTTGCTAGGGATGCTCAGGGACCCCTTCTCAGAAAGGCCTTTTTCTAATAAATTTTAGGGTTGGTTCAGCTGCTTTGAATAGTACTGCATACACCGGGCTGATTGGGGCTTTCAATTCCTCTGCATGTCATAATACGGGTGGCCCCCAGGTTATGGACGAGTTGCATTCCTGAGAACATCCTTAACTCGAATTTGCATGAAAGTCGAAACGCATGAGTAAGCCAAATACTTGTCTTATTATCTGTATTCTTTTATCTTTCTATGCTCGTAAAACACTTTAGAAACACAACCATATTCACTAGAACATTTAATCACAATATGGCGTTGCAATTCTAACTATACAGCAAAAGAAAGCAACTACAGGTAGAGAAGAGAGAGCGAGAGACTCCATATGCATGTGTATTGGTTACAGTACTGTGAAAAACTGTTGGAGCGGCTTTCTTGAAGTAAGCCTCAAAGGTCGTTTGTACAGCCATTTTCTTTCTCTCATTGTCAAAGGCCTCGAAGCAGCTGAAGGCCTGGCTGCAAGGGCCAAATGGACAGGAGGCGTGGCTTGGGAGTGCTCCTCGAACCCAAGTCATCCTTGGAGTTCGCAGGGAGTCCTGTGGCAAGCAGCACCTTCCAGCAGCTTTGGCTGGTCCATCGACCACATCCTTACTTGGATGAGCAGCGCCTGGCAACAGTGACCCACGCTCTGGTAACCCCCTTGATTGGACTGCTGCAATGTGCTCTACACAGCGCTGCCCTTGAAGTCAGTCCAGATCCTTCAGCTGGCCCAGAACAGAGCAGCCAGGCTTTGGACAGGACTGGTAGATTTACTGAGATCTGCACCAGCTACCAAGTGAAGTCTGGGGCCAATGTCAGGTGCTAACGATGATGTATAAAACCCTAAACAGCTTAGGGCCTGGGTATCTGAAGGAGTGTCTCCTTTCATATATACTGGCCTGTCCTCCTTGTCGGAGCTCCTTCTTTGGGAGCCCTCTTTGAAGGAGATCAGGAGAGTGGCTACCCAGAAAGGGTCTTTTCCACTTGGGAACCTGCTTCTCAGAGAGGTTTGCCTGGCATCAGCGCTTTACTCTTTTTGACACCAGGCTAAAACCTCAAGGGAACTAGGATGCCACTGATGATGCATCACCAAACCTGCCATGTAGTTCCCTAGAGATACTTCACATAGTTGCCTAGGGATAGCCTTGACTATCTCTAGGGAATCACTAGCTCTATGTAGAGACGTGAATATCTCTAGGCAACTATCTAGCCACCAATAATTCATGGCCAAATGCATCGTATTGTTCCCTAGAGACATTCAGCCTTTTCACTAGAAATTTTCATATAGGGTTTACAGCTGTCCGCATGTAAAGTAGGGGTTCTTCAAAACCTGGATATTCCTAAGGCAGGGACCACCTGTGCACTGTGACTTATACTGCTTGAAGCACTTGTTCCCTTCCAAATAATGTAATTGATACTTACAAGCAGCTTCTGCTTTTCCCATTCTGCCTCTGCTTTACATGCCAAAATACTTCCTCTCTCTTTCCTCAGACTCTCCAGGTGACGATAGAGCAGATCCTGGAGAGAGAACAGCAGTTCACTTTCAGTTTAGAGACTGAGAAAAAGAAATTGAAAGGGATGTTCATGATTTCTTCCCTTTTGCATCTTGGGGGGGTCGGGGGGAAGGGGGCTCTCAGGTGCCTTCTTGATCCCAGGGAGATCTAGAAACGAGCTACAACATGCGCTGGGCAGGCTCTGTGACAAGATGAAGGGACGGTGCCATCCCAGAATGACCGGTCAAAACACCATTCAATTGACTGCCCTTCCTGAACTCTTTAACTTTGAAAAGGAAAAGGTTTTTTCTGCTGTTATTTTATTAAGAGGGGAACTGGCAAGGGAGCATCCTGAAAGGGCAAGGAAGGCCGAGTGGAAGAGGCTTCCGGCCACCCTCGAAGTGACCAGTGCAGCTCTCATCTCTGGGCAAGAATGGTGGGCAGGGCAGCCCCTCTGCGGAGGAAGCAGCCTGGAAGGAGACCGGCCCCTGCAGAGGGGCATTCCTGCTTTCTCTGGGGGAAATTCTTCCCTTCATCCCCAGATGCTAAGATGGAATTGCACGGTCTGATCTCTGAGCAGGCATTACAGGTGTCAGAAAATCCCAGAATTTCAATTTGTGAGGAGGAAATAAAACTCGGGTTTGTGGGAAAGATCAAGCGTTCAGACCATCTGTGGCTTTATTGTTTGGCCCAGGTTCCCATGGTAGGTTCACGATAATGCATTACCATGCAGGCAGAGGTAAACTTGCTGCAAAGTTTCAATACAACTACAGGGTATTTTATTCCCTCCAGGTCACGTACACTGGTACAGAGCAATTGATGACAGAATGCAGACATTACCATAAGATTCTGAGGTCATCACATACAGAACAGATAAAGGAAGATCAGTCAATCATACAGTGACAATGAGATTACAGTATTTCTAATTGCAGTGTATTGACACTTTAGTTGAGTAACTTGAACCCATCTCCAGGTCTGCTTAGACATGTAAATTCAAGCTACTGAGAAACTATTCATGAACTCATAAGCTCATCTAGACTCAGACCCTAATTAATGCATCTGCACCATTCTGCATGGCCAGGGCACTTGCAGCCCTCTGGGCTAGCAAAAGATACTTCCTAGTAAACTGTGAATTCCAACAATGATTATTATATAATCATTGTGAAGGTATATAATATATATTTGGACTAAATGGCCTGTCTACTGTAGCTTACAGCTAAAGGTGAGAGAAAGAAGCCGGGGAGGAATGCCGTTTTAAACAGTGACTTAGCTTGGTTTGAGAAAGAGTACAAGATTGATTCCACAATGCAAAAGCACACAGAAGCAATGTTTTTCTGACAGGATTTATCCAAATTTTACCAACACAGGCCACTGGGAGAAGTTTCAGAAGCAAGCTCTCCAAAGCCCAGAGAGTTCAGTCTCCCTTGCCTCTCTCCCTGCAGCCCTGCTAAAAGGATCTGAATGTGCACAGGCTGCAGGAATGCAAAATACTTATATCCCAGTTGGAACATAGCATGGAGAGTGGCCCAGGGGTGCGTGGCCTCGCTCCACTCCATTTAGCCATATTTTCTTTTGTTTTACTTTACAATGCAACGGTGCCCAGGTACAGTTTGTTTTGATAAAATCACCTCTCCTTAAAACTGGCTGTGCCTGTATAAAGTAGAGATTGCAGCACCCATAAAGACACATTGTTTTATGAAGAATGAGGAAGTGCAGGGAAAAGGGGAGGGGGAAGGGGAGAGGGAGCACCTGGAGCAATAAAGTCCTCACAAGTATTCCATGGGTCAAGGATCTTTGAGCACACGCACCCTCAAGTTCATCCTAAAGGGTACCTAAAGGCCTTTGCTCCATATTGGCTGATTCCAGAAGCTGGTGCTGGGGGACTTTAGCTCTGCGCCATGGCACCTATGCCATGGAGTTCCGCAGGGGTCCATTTTGTCCCCCTTGCTATTCAACATCTACATGAAACCACTGGGAGGGGTAATCAGGAGGTGTGGGCTGCGGAATCATCAGTATGCTGATGATACCCAGTTCTACCTCTCATTCTCTACCAATCCAGGTGAGGCAGTGGCTGTACTGAACCGGTGCCTGGCCAAGACCTTTTTATTTAAACACTATTTTAACTGTTAATGGTTTATTTGACCAGGCTGGATCCTCTATTCTATTCTATTTTTTGTATTTATTTATATATGAATTTTTTGTATTTTATATGCTATTTTAATGATTGTAAGCTGCCCCAAGGCTCATGCGATGGGGTGGCATATAAGTTGTTTAAATAAACAAACAAACAAACAATAAATAAATATTGCCGCTCTGGGGCCAGTCATGGAAAACCCGGAGGTTCTTGTGGTGTGGAAGGAGGGGCAGAGCAGGAGAGAGGACTGATTCCTGGGGATCGGAAGGTGTCCACCTGTCAAATGTGAGTGCCTGAGACTGTATTGCCCTCTCCACACTGGGTATTCCTTTATGCACCTCCATTAAATCCTATCATATCTGCATTTTGGTATTCTGCATTTTGCATTTGAGAGCCAGCGTGGTGTAGTGGTTAAGAGCGTGGGACTGGGACTCAGACGATCTGGGTTCTGGTCCCTGCTCGGCCATGGAGCCAACTGGGTGACTTTGGGCCAGTCACAGACTCACAGCCCAACCTATCTCACAGGGTTGTTGTTGTGGGAATAAGATGGAGGAGGCGATGTAAGCTGCCTTGAGCCCTTTGTAGGAAAAAGGCAGGATATAAATAAAAAAAAAAATCCTTTTCCTCCCCATCAGAGCAGGCACAAATGGTGGGACCTTCCCTTACAGGGCAGCTCTGCCACTCACTGCAACATTTCAATGGCCTTCCTTGGGCTGCAGAACCCAAGTTTGGTACAGGGTGCAGCTTGGAGAGAACGAATGGAAGTATCCCGCACCCCACAAACTTAGGGCTTCTGGGACTTCTTCCTCCTCCAGATTCTTATTCCATCCGAAAGAGCATGCATGTTCGCAGCAGTCATACCTGGTTGCTCCAGAGACCTGCGGTTCCTGGGCAGTACAGAAATGAAATAAATCAGTGGATCATTTGGAACCATTTCCTTCCTATTGGAATATCTTCACAGAGACCATGTCCAGAGGGGCCCACAAGTACTTCATGGATCTCCTACCTGGTACTCCTGGGATGCCTCCTCCAGGGGAACCACCTGGTGGCCTTCGTGCTCCTCAGATCTGTCACACACCAGGCAGATGGGGGCTTTGTGGTCCCTGCAGAAGAGCTTCAGGGGCTCCTGGTGCTTCTCACAGACTCGCCCCTTCCCTTCGGCCTCCTTGACCCCCTTCTCCCCTAATTTCCTGGCGATTTCCACAAAGTTGGCCAGCTGCCAATTGGGCCGGAGGTTCCTCTTCTGGAAGGTCCCCCTGCACTGGGGGCAGGAGGCCTCCGTGTCTGATTCCCCCCTGCTCTCGTTCAGGCAGGCCTGGCAGAAATTGTGCCCACACTCGGTAATGATCACAGGATCCCTGAAATAGTCCAGGCAGATGGAGCAAGAGGATTCCTCGCAGAGAAGCTGGATGGTGCTCCCGCTGGTGGCAGCCATGGCTTCTGCACAAAGTGGTTCTACTTGCCACATATCAGTAAGTGGGAGTTTCCTTCTTGTAAATGTGAGCTGGCCTGTCCTTGCTCTGAGGCCCAAGGTACATAATTGACTCCACCCAGGTTTACTCTCTGGCACTGCACAATCACTTCCCTACGACATGCAGCTCATCAACAAACTGCTCTCTGTTTGTCCAAATCCAGTAAAGGGTTGCTTTTTTTATGTTGAGTCATAACATGCGGCATTATGTGGCGCCCAGAGGAACTGCTCAGAGGGAGTCTGCACTGGGTGCTTTTGCAACCTTTCTGTTGCCTACACAGGTTGGGGAGGGGGGATCACATAGGCAATTCACTAGATCGTCTTGCCAGTGTATTCTGGCTCCTGCAGTGCAGCAAAGTGGATCAGAAGAAGGACTGATGCCTTTGAATTGTGGTGCTGGAGGAGACTCCTGTGAGTCCCTTGGACCGCAAGGCGATCAAACCGGTCAGTCCTAGAGGAGATCAACCCTGACTGCTCTTTAGAAGGCCAGATCCCGAAGATGGAGCTCAAATACTTTGGCCACCTAAGGAGAAGGAAGGACTCCCTGGAGAAGAGCCTAATGCTGGGAACAATAGATGACAGAAGAAGAAGGGGACGGCAGAGAATGAGGTGGCTGGAGTCACTGGGGCAGTGGGTGTGGGCTTGGGTGGACCCTGAGGGATGGTGGACAGGAAGTCCTGGAGAAGTGTTGTCTATGGGGTGTGACTTCGCAACTAGCAACAGCATGGCTTGGCTTGTTGCGCAAACCCAGCAGCTGCCAAGAAGCAATGCCCTCCTTGAAGCTCAGCAGGTCGTCCTTTCCCCCTGGAATCCTTTTGGTTTGGAGCCCTTCTGAACTAGGGGTGAGGATGACGGTGAGAGAATCCCCCTATTAGGTGGACTGAATGGATTTGGGATCACCCTGGGGGCAGAGTTCTGAGAGCTGGAGAGAGGGCAGAGAGACAGGGCAGAGAGCAGCAGACCAGGAGAGGGGTCCCTGGATCATGCAGCATCCAAGAAGGGGTCAAAAAATGGGTGAAAACAGTGGGATTTCCACCTTTCCCCCTGCTATACAAACCCCTCAGCATGGGTCCATCTGCATCCATGGAGGCTGCTTGAAAGAGGATGGTTGGTCAGTGGTCCAGGGCCTTCATGCAAAATCCCCTTTCCTTCCCTCCTCCTGGCTGGGACAGCCTGTGGGAAAGGAGCACCGAATCTGCCCAGTTGTTCTTCCAATGCAGACCATTTGGATCTGCCTCACTCTCGTTTGGATCTTTTGTGCTGCCTCCAATGATCCAGTTCTAGCCCACACTTGGTCATGAAGCTCGTTGGACCAATCACTGCCTCTCTGCCTCTCCTACCTCACATGGTTGTTGTCGCATCTCACTCACCAGGGCCAGCGTGGGGCTGGCTGTGCCCTCCCTGCTGGTTCCCCACCTCTTGCTCAGGGGAGGAGGCCGGGAGGGGAGACGCAGCTCAGTGGGAACCGGTGGGCCCCTGAAAACCAGCCTCCTCCTTCCTCTGCCCTGTTCTTGCTGGGAAGGGAAATGCTGCCCTGGCTTGGGCTGCGAGTTTTCCTCAGCCAGTCTGCCCTGGTGTGTGTGTGTGTGTGTGTGTGTGTGTGTGTGTGTGTGTGTGTGTGTGGGGATTTGTGTGAGGGGGTCAATGTGTTTCATCATTTAACATGAAGAATATTAGTGTATAAAGCAACTTTGTGCGGTTTTGTATTGGTGTGCTGTTAATATTTTATTTGAATGTGTATTTGGTATGAGCATTGAATTCCATTTATACTGAGTTTTTATTTTGCCCTTGAAAAGTTTTGATCGAGCATTTTTAAAAAGAAGCAACAGCAGATTTCAGACTCCCCTTATTTGAATTACATACTGCTCTCTAAAAATTTCAATGGTATTGATTACATTTAATATTATTCTTTTATTAACATTTTTACTGCTCAGTTTCTAGTTAGAGAATATTCATTGGTATGCAGTTATATTTAAAAACTAATACACAAATACTATATTATTTTATTTTGGTCCCTGAAATAATTTTCCTGTTTTTGCTGGTTCCCACTGGCAAAAAGGTTGAAAACCACTGGGTTAAACAACACAGATGCCGAAGGCAGAACTGACAGTCCCCAGCACAGCACTGACAGCCTCCTCGCACCCCTCCTGTCCCTGCACAAATGCAGAGGATGCCTGCCAGGCAGGTCTGGACTCTGCACTCCCAGCATCTCACTTTCAGGACCCTCACTGGGGAGGAGCTGAGGGTGAGCGGTGTCTGGGTCCAGTACAAAATAGCACCTCAAACAACCCAAATGGAAAAAGCAGAATTGACAGTTCTGGGGGGTTGTTGGAGTGGGGGGGATGGCCCTCGACTGGGGAAGGCTTTGGTTTTCGGTGAATCTTGGCAGTCGGGTGAGGCAGCCCTGTGAGGGAGGCTCCTGGCAGCCTTAAGAACTGATCGTGAGAAGGGCATCATCACCAACATAAAAGAAGGGGAAAAGGGTCTCTCCTGCAAATGAGACCCCAGAGAAGGCATAGAGGAGGGTCCCTCTGTCAGCATCATGAAAGGCCACCTGCCCCCCATCACAGTTCAGAGACACCCGGATTGTCTTCAGCTCCCCACTCATGGGCAGAGCAGAAGGAGGATTATTGCAAGCTACGTATAAATCTTGGAAATACCACAAAAGCCAGAACCCTTCCTCAGGAGAAAAAGCAACTGCACTCTTTCTGTCCACAGACTCTCTGGTGATGCCCACAGCCCAGGCTCCCTCACTTCCCACATGGACTTCCCAGGAGTGTCTTCCAGCTGTGAAGCCCTCTCATCCCAGCACGTAAGTGTCAAAGCTGAATCTCTTCGGATTGTCAGGCACTTTTTGCATTTTGTGTCCCATCCTGACACTTTTATCATCCTCGGACAAGAGGAGATGAGGATGAGCAGTTTCCGGATCCAGGGTCACATTTACTACTGGGGATAGAGAGAGAGGAAGAAAGCAGAAGATGAGCCATTTTGATCTCTATCTTAAGCATTAACACCCCACTGGCATCATAGCTTCCCTCTCAAATCCAATAAAATGTAACCAGCAACTTAACTCAAAAGCTAACGGCAGAGTTTACAGTTCCCCAAGCCCACTTCTTCAACCCTCTCCTCACTTTCCCTCCCTTTTCCTGACTGACCACCCAGTTTCAGAAAACACAAAAACAAGAAGTCCCTTCCTAGAAATCAGTTGAGGGGGGGGCACCCTATTCCCCTTGGTGTCTTTAGGGGGTCCTTACACTGAAACACACCCTGCAAAATCAGGCAAACCTCCACAGATTTCCCTGCTTGAATTTCACTGGAAGCTTCAGCTTGTTGTCCTGAAAGCCTCCAGCCACTCTGGACAGACCTGCAGTTCGGAAGCACCCAAAGGCTCTCTCACAAAGATAGGAGGCTATTTTGAACCACGATTTCTCTCCTCAAAGCCAATTCCTAGTATTCCCCTCAATCAGCATTGTTTCTCCAACCCAGGAGCATCTCAGCATGAACGCCCCCCAGAAGCCTTTCCATGCAGGGCTGGTAAGAACTGCCTCGCATGCTTTCCTCCCAAGGCTGGAATCCGAGCTCTGCAGAAATACCTTCCCCTTTCAATTCCTTCAACACAGAACCTGCAGGTGGCGCGATGCCCTAGTGCAGGGGTCAGCAACCTTAAACACTCAAAGAGTCATTTTGACCCGTTTCCCACAGAAAAGAAAACACCGGGAGCCGCAAAACCCTTTTGACATGTAAAATGAAGATGATACTGCATATATCTTTTTTTATCTTTATGCTATGTATAAAAAAACTATAGTGTATTGCATTTATGAAAGCAATGAACTGCTACAGAGAAAACAAATTTTTATTTCTGCATGCAACAAAAACATTTTGAACTCTGAAAAAAAAAAGACACTGGGTTGAAAGTTACTTTCAAATAAATTATTCAATGTCTGAATCCTCCTTGTATTTATGAAATAAAAAGCTGAATTTGTATTATCCACTAGCAGCAAACCAAACACGCCACCTGCATCAAACCAGACATGCCCTCTACTTCTGTGTGCCCTCATCCTCAAACCCCTAAATTTGTCAGCAGTAAAAGCAAATGAATCTATCCATGTATCATTAAATGTGGATTTATCCATGGTTGGAGGGGGGGAAAGCTCAGTAAATCTGAGCTGGTCCCAGATATAGGTGTGTTTAGTGACTGATTAGCAGATAAACAGATTTAACAGACTGATTAGCAGATTTTTTTTTCGGTGCCAGGCTAAGACCTTTTTATTTAAACATCATTTTAATTGTTAATATTATTTATTGATTTTACATCTTTGGCCAGGACGTCTCGAATTATATTGCTTTTATAGTTATTACGTTATATATTGTTGTGAGCTGCCCTGAGGCTTTGGCAAATGGGGCAGCATAGAACCTTCCTAAATAAATAAATAAAATAAAATAAACAGTCATGTGATGTGAATTGTGACAGGTCCCAAGCACAGCTTTTACCATTTAGATGAAGGAGATTACATTGGGACAAAGAGAATCTTTTCAGCAGCATGTCATGTAACATGAGAGCCTGCAGAAGCTTGTTTAGCAGAGGAATGTAGCTATTTACTTAACTAGCTGATTTACTTAACTAGCTAGCCCTGCTTTCCTGAGTGGAGCTTTGAGCAGATCAGGGGCTGTGCGGGCAGGATGGAGCCACAGCAGAGGGGTTCAAGAGCCATGTGCGGCTTTGGAGCCGCGGGTTTCCGACCCCTGCACTAGGGAAACAGTGCAAGTACTGGAGGAAAATCATTGCCAGGCCTCTTTCTCTAAAATAGGACTGTATTTTTCTCAATCTAAGGAACAAGCAAACCCAAAACCTGAGAGTGTGTTCTGAAAACCAAACAAAACAGGAGTGAAACTGGAGAATCACAGCATTTTGGCAAGAGTCCATCAATGAGTGCAAGAAAGAAAGTGCGACTCATGAGAAGAGTCCCCTTCCTTTCCACAAGTGCAGAACCCAAGCGTGTTCTGCGAATCTGCCTGTCCAGGTTTCCCTGTGCCGCTGAACCGCAGGGGCTGCCTGTAGCCCAGCAGCGATTCCTGGGGAGCTGCGGCCCCCACTCCGCAGGCTGGCACTAGGAGAAGCCGGGAGGGGTTGCTTGCCTTGGGGACCCCAAGCCAGAAATGGGGTGGCCTGGATACTGTGGCAGATGATGCTTTGTCTCTTCTGCCATGGAGCTCCCGGGGTCATTGGTTGCACTGTCGTACTACTCTTAACAGTCGGCAAAATGTTCCCGATATCTAGCTGGAATTTGCATTCCCTTAACTGGAGCCTATGATTCCATGCCTGCAACCTGTTATGATAAAAAGGAGATCTCAGCCCTCCTCTTTTACTCTCTTCTCAAATATTTGCCATCATATTTTACCTCAGTCTTCTCTGCTTGAGGCCAAACAGGCCCAGCTCTTCCAATCCCTCCTCCGGGGCTTCGTTTCCAGTCCTCAGATCATCTCAACCCTTCCCAGCCTGTCTGCATCTTTCTTAAACTGTGAAGCATTGAACTCTCTGAATTACCCAAGATGGCCAACTGTGGTGCCCTTGAGAGCTGATCCCCTCCTTCAGCTAATTTGCCAAAAAAGCTATCATGGGGCACTTCATTAGATGCTTTGCTAAAGAAAAGGCGCAGGACGTGACCAGCCCTCCCACAGTCCACAGGGGAGGTGCCCAGATTAGAAAAGGAGAGCGGAAAAGTCTGGCAGGATTTCCTTGTGGCGAATCTGCATCTCCTTCTAGTCATCACGGCCATGTTTTCAAGGTGTTGGCAGACTGTCCGCTCTAGAAACTGCTCTAGAAGTTTCTAGGCATGGACCCTGTTCAGTTTGCCTTCATGGGTGCGTGGCATGAAGCTGAGTGAGAAGCGTTTGAGGTGACACGATAGCACTGGAAGGTCCCTCAAAGCCGCCACAAAGAGGAAGGAACAGTCCTCGCTCCTCCCAGATTGTAGCTCATGGAAGAGCGAACCTAAACAGCAGCACACCAGGGGCAGGCCAGGCACACGGCAGCATCTCCTGGCGGTCAGAGCAACTTCCCAGTGGAACCAGTTGCCAGGAGAGCTTCCGTGCTCCTCCACATCAGGGGCATTCAAGAAGGTGGTCTGTTCTCTGAGTGGGATGGTGTAACCGGTGTCCTGCTCCCTCAGGGGGCTGGACTTGATGGCCTTCCTGGCCCCTTCCGGCCCTGCTATTATATGATTCTGGGAGAAGCAGAACTGCCAAACCAGAGTGAGGCCAAATGATTCTAGTGGTGAAAACCCAAAGCAGAAATGAAAACCCCCAGGAAGCCCTCTCCACAACAGCTGGTATTCCCGATGGGGAAACAAGGCAAGAAAAAATTAGCGAATTGGTAGCCAGGCTACAAAACTTCTCCCATTGCAGCTTTTACCATCACTTATAACAGCAGCAAGAGAAGGAGAGGATCTTCCCAGTCTTATCTTAATACCTTTGAATTAATTCATGACTCCAGGAAATTGCTTCCTCCATCCCTCCAGATCAGGCTTTCTATCAGAGAAGTACCAGATCCTCCGTTTCAGCTCCAGAGGGAAAGCCGCTGGGATCTCACAGGGCTCCTTCTCACTCCTGCCAGAGAAAACAGCTCATCCAACCCAGAATTCCATGGAAGCAAAGGAGAACTGGCAAAGGGCAAGGGGTGGGCACCTTCTTTTGGGGAGCGGGGGAGGCCACACTCCCCCCAGAGAACCCTCCAACAGCCACACAGATGGGTGGGGCTTCAGCTGATCTGCGTTCTCTGCTCAGGAGCTGGGAGGAGCCGGTCCTCCCAGTGCCGTCCAGACCCTTCCCTGCAGCAGTGGAAACGAGGAGGATGCACTCACCTCTGCAAGGTGCTTCTCACATCCTGGAGGGGAAAGAGGGAAAGAGGAGGGGCTCAGTGGGTGCCGCTCTCCAGCTGTTCACCTCCCTAAAGAAGCCTTCAGTTCCATCCCTGGCTTTCCACAAGAGCAAGGAGCTGATGCGCATCTTAGGTCTCTCTCGGAGTGCCTGGATGCTGACATCTAGAGGGGCCTGCATTTTTCCTTTTGGATTCACATGTTTTTTCTTTGTCCACTCAGTTTCATGCTCCCTTTGGTGCTGCCCTCTTGAAAGGGAAGGTTACCCTGGCAGTGGCTCC